TTGAGTACATGATTTTATAATTCTATTGACACCTTTTAAAATTTAGAAAATCAATAAATATTTAAATTGTTTAAAAGCTGTAGGTACGTATTAAGGTAAAATTAATTTAGAAAAGGTAAAAATTAATTATTTTTACAAATGTACCTATGTGCCTAAATGAAAAAATTTAAATATTTAATTAAACCATTGAAAACGATTAAGATTTTCAATGTTTTTTTTTTGAGATAAGTTCGAAATAATAAAATTTGTAAGTACATTGAAAAACATAATTGTCTTGTAGTGTTATTTTCGAATTACAGTTAGTTATGAATGAATTTTATCTTATGGGTCAAATGGTTGTGGTGTGATAAATAAAAAGTAAATTTGGCAACGTGGCGCAACGGTAAAACCTTAAACGTCGTTGGGCGGTGCTGTGTAAGCGTGTTAGCATCCGTGTGTGCGTTGTGTGCTAGCACTCAATGAATCGGAGTACTACAACAACGGGCGACGGGCGGCCAACGATCCCGGCGCACCAGCGCTACTCAGCGCCGCTAACACGAACTACGGTAGTTTGGCATGGACGACGCTGTGGCTGTTTTTGTGCACGCCGCGTTCTCCGGAGCTTTTTGCACCGGAACCGATGGAAAAAACACACGCCCGCCGTCCACACCACACGCCCTTTATGAGGTAAGTGTTCGCGGTTTCTTTTATCCTATTTTTCGTTCGCGAAACGGCGTATTTTTCACGCATTTCTCACACGTTTATAACCTGCCTTCCTCGTTTGGGCGCAAATCAAAATGGAGGAGAGAGGCGAACACACGCCGCGTGCTTCTCGCTCGCTTCGGCTCGCTTTTCGAAACGGGGTTTGTTGTGAACGGTGATGTTTGCGAAGCAACCCTCGGTTCTCGTGAAAACGCCGCGAAATTGTGTTGGCGCCGTTTCTGAAACAGCGTCGCGTGCGTTATTTCTCGGAAACGCGATTAATAACCTCCAAGGTGCCTCTTTCCCAGTCAATAGCCTGAGCGTCGCACATGTGAAAGACGCGCCTGTATAATTTGACTGATCGTACGACAATGATGACTTACGAATAATTTTTTATCATCTTCAAGTTCTTATCTACTTCGTTTTGTTTCAGATGTTTTGGCCAGAACGGAACTTATCAAGCAGATTCCGAACGTGGCGACAACGGCGTCTTTATGCGCGGCCCAGGTGCCCTGTCTCGCGACCGTCGTGTCGAATTACATTTTGCCCTTGATCGTTCACAATTTGAGTACCGCCGAAAATCCGGTCAGGAATGCCACACATACTGCATTATTTGTTCTTCTGGAACAGGGACTGATTAGCAAGGTGCAGGCTGAGATACAAATATGCCCCACTGTCCTGGCCCTTTCTCAGACAGAAAATCTTATGAATTACACAGGTGCTGTTACGGTAGGTGCAAAAACAAAACTAATTTTTTATATTGTTTTTATGTATGTGTGTATGTTTGACTGATCCTTTTCAGGTTACAGTTTCTCTGTGAAAGACATGGGTAGTGAGATGTTAATTTTACTTGTCTCACTACCTTGTCTTTCATGAAGCAGCTGTTTTGAGCACCATGAAACCTTGTTGAAATGGGTGATTTTTGTGTTGGATATGAAGAGCTTTGTGTTTCCATTTATTTTTTTGTTGTATATTTTTTGTCACGTTTTAAAGTCTTGCAGAACATGATTTGTTTACTTGTTATGGTAATTTTTGTTTGTGTGTAATCAAATTAGATCTGTTGTCAAGTTCATCGACTTGATAAGATCTTGAGCCACTCAATTGTGAGTGTTTTTTTTTTGTTTAATTTAAACATTTGTAATTTGTATAATATTTTTTAATGGCATTTTAATATGCATTTATTGATGTAACATTTTTGCTGAACTTCATTGTCATTTTTATACCACTAGCTGTAATTATGAAACAAAGGTAATTAATAACGATTGTTAATATGTTTGTAAAGTATTGTAAGTGTTGTAGTAATAGTTTCTTTTACAGTTAATTTTAAAATGCTTTTTCCCCATAATATAGGATCCATTGGCTTGCCTGTACTTGTCATTGCTGGCTTGTTTTAGAGTATAATGTCTATCACAGCCAGCTTTGATGAGCACAGTCTTGTTCCGAAACGTCGTGTTTGCTATCAAGAAAGAAGAAAAGCGAGAGTCGTCGATACCAAAACAATTGAATACGGTATGATGGTAAACAATATTGTGAGCGCCCAACGCATCAATCTGGTTGTGAATTCTTTTTTTTGAGCAAGATATCACAGCCACTTTGATGAGCTTGGTCACTGCAGATCGTCAATCGATGGGCGGGGTTTTTAACTACTATCGTTGAAGAATTCAATTGTTTTTTTTGGAAGATATTTGCATATGGAATTCATATTTATAATGGTAATGTCCCAACAGTCAATTTGGTTGTGAAGTCTTGTCTTTCTACCAAGGTATCACAGCCATTTTGACGAGTTGGGTTGTTATCTTTACCACGAAACCCAGAAGAAGAAGTCGCAAAAAAAAGGGAATCGTCGTCGTTATCTATGGGACAGATGGATGTTGTGTTGCTCATCAGCTGGATGTGAAATGTCTCGTTTATTCATATCACAGCCAGCTTTGATGAGCGCTACGGCTTCATATAGCTCCGCATTTTTATTCTCATTCAATTATAATTGTAATTTTCTTTATATGCATTAATGTAACTTTTCCAACTTGACGCTTTAAATACTTAAGTTAGACAGTTTTGTAATATAATTCGATATAATCTACCAACACACTGATTGTAATTTGAAACGTCTGTGGAATGCAAGTCGACCAAAAAAATGTCTTAATTGCACATGCCATTTGTAAACATTGTGAGTCCTCGAAGTAGTGGTGATCGTCGATAAAAAAGCACTTTATTTATTCTAATGGTTTCTTTGTAAATCGTTTTACACAATAATTAGAAAATCATAATGACTTATACTGGGTGTTTTCAGATGAATCGCACGTTTGTTGGACCATTATTTTGTGCGTATGGTTACGCTCATCAGCTAGATGTGAAATGTTTCTGTTTTATTCATATCACAGCCAGCTTTGATGAGCGCAAAAGTGCGCAGTCAATTTTTACATTCAACCAACAATTTTTTATCTTAATTTATAAGTGCTTGTAGCGACTTCTAATAATAATAATAAGGTAAGAAATGTGGTAGATGGCGGTAGCTGATAGGATGTATGAAGCGTTTTTATAAGTGGTAAATGGATTTGCAAGAAGGCATTTTCTGGCGTTTTATTACAATACAGGACGATTATTATTAGTTTTGGTCACCCAATGCAGCATTTGTTGTTATTATTATTATTATTATTATTGAAAATTGCTTTCACGGTCGACAGAAATCGATCCTGTTTGGTATTTGTGTTACTGTTGTTTTGTTAGATTGATTTGTAAATGCACGAGTAAATTATACAAGAGGGGCCGGTATGATGGAATTTTTGCAAATCCATCTCGTACGTAGTTGTACGAGTGTGGTTGCTGGTATGCGCTGGCTGTGTAATTATTGTAGATAATTATAATAATCCAACGACAAATTACCGTGTCTATATGCATAATATGTATTCTCGCCTAGTCTTGTATTTAAACGTTAGTTAGAGTTTGCAGCGATTGGCACACTTTTATTGGAGAGAAAAAGTTCGCTATAAGGAGGAGGGGGCGTTGCTAACGGTACTAATGCGTAATGCCAACGATGTGTTTGTGTTGATAATTATGCTAACTTTCTTGTCACTGTTAATAAGTTAAAAAGACTTGCTACGTTACTTAATAAATATTGACCTAAGCGAAGTATTTTATTTATATAAAAGTTGATAATGTTAATTTGTATTAAATATTTTTCTTTTATCGCCCCCTGTACTTTACGATAGCGATGCTTTTTCGTCTCTGCATTTGTGGTATTAATTAAAACGAAATGCATCCTCCACTATTCTATAGGCCTGATCGTTACTCATCTTCTATTTTTCCATTTTTCTCTTTTGTTACAGCTGATGAGCAAAATGACTACGTATTTGGGCCGCGAGATAACCGAACGCGTTTTTCTCGACAGATTTACGCAGCTCTGCTCAAATTCGATGTTCTGCGTACGCAAAGTTTGCGCGTCTCATTTTGGAGACTTCTGTGCCGTTGTCAGTCAGACTGCGTTCAATAACAAACTGGTAAATATAACCGATTATTTTCGTTGTTGTGGATTGTTTTTGTGCTTTAAAAATTTTTCGATCTCTCTGTACGTAACAGTCGTTCTATATACGTACTTTGTTTTTGGAGTTTTTAGATAAAAAAATTGAATCGTTTTTAATGAAAACGTTGTTTATTGTTGACACAAACGCGCCTCGTCATCTGTACAAAGATATGTTGTGAAATAGGTCGGTGTTTGCGTAAATAGCGATTAAAAAGTTTCATTCATGGCTTTCTCGGTCGGTCGGCGGACTACGACGTGTTTTGTTTTCGTTTCAGTGTTATCACACTTGCTTGTCATTTGATTTATCGGTAGTTTCGTCAGAGCGCATGTACAATGTGCACCAGAAGAATTAAGTAACTACAATTTTTTTTTAATACAGCTACCCTGTTTCATCACCATGTGTTCCGATGAGATTTGGGGTGTGCGTAAGGCGTGTGCAGAAGTGATTATGTCGGTGTCTTGCGCGTGCACTCCGGAAACACGACGTTCCGTCCTTGCTCCTGTCTTCGTCAAATTACTTTTGGACGAAAGTCGATGGGTGTGCTTGGCGGCGTTCCAGGCCCTCGGGCCTTTCATTTCTACCTTTGCTGATGGTCTCATCTTCGATCAGTCGGGTCAGCTAGCAGTCAACACCTCTCATCAAGAAGATGCTGCTGTTTATGTTAACGGAGTCGATTTTGAGTAAGTAAAAAGTCCTTTTTACATCCAAGTTAATATTTTCTAACATACTCCTTTCTTCATTAGGTCACCCTCATATGACAAACAGACTTCTGATATGTTGTCAAACGATCTCAATCTCAGTTTCCAATCATTGGATCTTTCAGACCTTGAGATTACACATAATCCTTTGGCTTCTTCAAGTTTAATGTCATCCTCTGAAGGCGGCGGTGAAACAAAGGCAACGAATGTCAAAGCAACAGATTCAAATACTGATAACAACGACAGTTATACTTCAAAGTCCACTGGTAAAGGCATAGATGAAGAATTTATTTCCAGTAGTGGCGATGCCAATGACCAAGAAGACATCACGGAATTGGTTGAAACGGTCAAAAATGCCGTTTTGATATTTCGAAAAGACTCTACCGGGTTTACTTCAGAATCACCTAAGAAAGTTGAAGATGAAATAAATGACGACAGCAGTAGTGATTTTACGGAAAAACTAGCCTCAATTAGTGTAAAAACAACGCCAGTAAACACTGCCATTTTCACTAGTACTAATCAGAAGATTTTAAATGCAAACAGCAGCAGCAGCAATGATAGCAGTGCTTTAGATGATGCAACTCTAACAATAGAGAAAGATGCTATTAATTGTCACAGTAGGGGTAGTAGTTTTTATCTGGAGAATAAGACTGCTGCATTAGAAAACAAAACAACGAATTTTTTGGATACTAGTAAAAATAATAAGGGTGCTATTAGTAGTAATAGTAATGGTTCATCAGGGGAAGAGGAAGATCATCTTAAAGAGTTCAATTGTTATAATTATTGGTACATCAAGCCCGACTTACCAGTTGATCCTGCAATTGTGGATGGTATTGTATCAGTAAATAATGTAAGTGTTGACTCATTATTCAATAATTTCAACTCAGTACATAAATTCTTAATTCCATGATGATTTTGACGACGGTCTTCTGATACATATTTGTAGATAAATTAACGTCAATCTGAGAAATTAGTAATATTTTATTGGAGAGTTATTTGTTTTGACAAAAGTGGAACTTATATTTCATCTTGTTTTAATAGGAAACCAAGGAAACCCCAAACGCAAGTGTTCAGTCTTCAGGTGATAATATGTTCGGTAGTATTTCACATGTTAATAAGTAATTAATGAATAATTTACCTCTTCTTTATTTTTAGATAAGTCCTTTTCTGTATTAGAAACGTCATCGAGTGAGGTAAGTCGATGCTTTACAAAAATTCATTTATAATATCTTTTGCATGAACTCCTGACTATTTAAGTGATGATTCATTTCACGATGGTCTTCAGAAAGACTTTGTTGATTACTTTTAATTATCTGATAAAGATGTGTACCTAGGTTGTTCAGTTTTGTTACTTCTTAATTAGTGTTTTTAATTGGTAATTTTTGACCTCTAAATATAGTTGTATTCTTTTAGATTAAAGTCAATAGTGCTTTAGATGAAACAACACCGGTTCTACCGCGAGGATTGGCACTGGTGCATAGTATTAAAGGTAAGTTTGTTTATATTAATAGTTCTTTCTTTTTTTTTTTTCATTTCTATCTCTCGCTATGATTACTATCTTTTACAAACTTTCGATGGCCCATGATGACAAATATAAGGCAGATTATGAGCATCAGAAACTTCTACATCTTTATCCTCTTATTATTTTTCATTCGGTTCTGCAAATGCTAAAATTTTCTTTAACAGTATCTCCCGTTTCTTGTAGCGTTTGACGATAACAGTTTGGACGTGGTTCCAAAGTTCCTTGTGGACTTCTACGTATCAATGACTGATTCCAATCTGGCCGAGTCTATAGACAGCGAATTAGCCTATCACTGTGCGTACTCTTTACCTGCAGTTGCACTCACGCTGGGCAAGAAGAATTGGCATTTGATTGCGAATACTGTTGAGCTTTTGGCCGATGATATGCAGTACAAAGTGAGGCGAACAGTTGCCAGTAGTCTCCACGAATTGGCGATTATTTTAGGCCCGGAAATCGCTACTGATAGTCTTGCGCCAATCTTTGACGCCTTTATCAAGGACCTCGATGAAGTTAGGATAGGGATACTTAGGCACCTTGCCCACTTTCTGAAGGTAAATTACATCTCGAATCGATCGTAATACGATTGGTATTTTTTTTTGTTGTTTTTCAGTTGATAAGTCCTCGTCGTAGAGTCCTTTACCTTCCACGTTTGTCGGAGTTCCTTCAGACAGATAATGAAACGAATTGGCGTTTTCGTAAAGAGCTTGCTGAACAGCTGCTGCTAGCCACTCCTTTGTTTCGTCCAATAGACGCCACCAAATACATCGCTCCGTTAGCTCAAGAGCTGCTCTGTGATAAAGTGGCAGCTGTCCGCGAGGTGGCTCTGCTTCTAGTAGCGGAACTTCTGCGACACGTTTCTGCCGACAGGTCGATTACCCCGTGGCTGTTGGTTAAGTTGGCAGAAAAATTCGCACACTCGAAAAAATGGAAGCGCAGACAGTCGTTCGCCCTCTTGTGTGCCGAATTGTTATCCTCTAGGGCGGTGTCTCTGGAACAGTTCTCGTCGGAAGCTATGCCCCATCTCCTAGATCTCAGTTGGGACCCGGTGGCCAACGTCAGGATTGTAGTGGCGAGAACGATTTCTAAGCACGTTGTTACTCAAGGTGAGTAAGATTAATATTTTAGGGAGTGAGTAGTCGTGTAATTTTTTGGGTTTGTTGCAGAATGTTTTATGGACCCTAGCAGTCAACATTATGACAGTCTTCAAACGGTGTTGAGAAGATTGCAGGCGGACAAAGACAGGGATGTCAGGCACTCCGCTAATTATCAAATATTAAAATAGTGGAGATTCTTTTAAATACAATATGTATATTACGATAATTTTATTTTAATAATCCATTATTATGATGTATATGATATATAGAGTATATTCTCCATTCCCAGTTGATGTTCATCTCATGAGGTGTTTTTATCTTCTCTTTTTTAGTTTAAATAAGTTAAAAAGTACCTACTTATAATTCTTAATTAGCTAATTAAAAGATGACGAATGAAGTCCGAAGTAAACTTTAATTATTGTAAAGAATTGTAAATTTGTGTACATTTTATGTCAATTTACATGCCATCAGCAACAGAAGTTTTATTATTAATCGAATTGCAATTTTTAGTGCTGTCCAGAGTTTTTATTATTATTATTATTAAGTGTGTGCTATTGAATTTGCAATTAATGAGAAGGAATTGTTATTAATCGATTGATTGTTGTTTTTGAGAGAGATGTTTCTATCTATTGTGTTTTTTGCGTCCTGAATAAAATAAACGAATATTTTTATCGAGGGTTTTTCATTTAGTAAATAACCAGTTTGCTAATCCTAGTTTTACAAGTGGTGCGGGATTTGTGTATATCTTGGAACGCATTTTTTGTAGAAAGTAACATTTAAAGCCCGTTAATTTTTGTTCCTATTTGTGTTTCAAGATTGTGGTTTTCGAAATGGTGATTTAGTTGGTACAAAACCCCAAGAGTCCGTTTTTTTATTGTTAGTACTGTACCGCCCCCACATATAGAATTTGTTTCGATTCCAAGACGTTTCTATAGTAGCCAAGCATGCTTTTAGTATAAGTGATTTTTTACTCCAAGTTATTCCCTTTTTTCCTCTTAACGGTCTTTTGTGGCAGCATTACTAGTGTCTTTTAATTTTTTATTTTACAATTTTCAAGTACTGAAGCTCTTACCGAAATTACTCCCTTCGAAAAGACTTAACCCCGAAATTTTTGTTATATTGTATGCACATTAAAAAAAAGTTATTTATGCAGAAACGTAAACATTTTTTTTACATACTTATGAAACACCGAATATATTAACCTTTCAAAGGTGAACCTAAAGGGATAAATCCAGAAGCAAATAATAACGTTAAAACCGTTACTACATATACATACATACCTAGGGTAGAACAAAAACGTCATAAATAATTTAGGACGTTCTAAATACAGCGCAGTTTATGTTAAAAATTTAATACACACCTCAACGGTTAGAGACGTTTGTACGTACTTTAAACAAGTCTCAGAAAGTCCTTTTAAAAGTAGTTAGCCCCCCTTTGAGATCCCTATAACCGTTAAGATATACTAATGATCCCTTTTACACTTGTAATATCCAAAATAAATTATCAATTCAATCGATTGTGGGGATATCGTATAATATTACCAGATTAATAGGAGGCTTATAATGGGAGAGAGGAGTCCAGCAAAATTTCAATTAAAGGGCACGGGGGCTCATTGAAAATTTCATGTCAACTTTTTAATTCAAAGAATGTACATTATATATATATATATATATATATAAAGTGATGGGAAGGAAATCCATCAAACCTTACCAAATTTCACCAACGAGAAGGGGGTCCAAATTAAAAGAAAAACACTTCGCGTAATTCATGGACATCCCCCAATGTATAATGTTTTACAACTTATACTATAAATTTTGAATGACATCAAAATAAGATGTAAAATGGTTTGCCTATACACCCGGCAAATATTTGTATTGTGAGAAATGTAGGAGCAAAGAAGGATCTAAAAATTGTATGAGAGATAATAAACGTGTAAAATATAAAAAGTAGTTTGAATTTAATGTTAAACTGACAAAACATTTAAATTTTCAAAAACAATTAAATCACCTATAGTAACGTTTTATCTAGACGTTCAAATTCATTAAATAAAGTTTTACAGCAGGGTAGTTATAATTGATCCCTATCCCTCTGAGATAGGGATTGTTGGTTTATTTACACAGTAACTTATAATAACAAAAGTTAACGAAAACAACAACACACCTTCTAGATATTGCCTTTTATATTAACTATCGATTCGACAAATGTGTATGCTTTTCGACGTCGAAGTTTACGCCGACGCCAGGCGTCGGGACGCTTTCCAGAATGCGCGGTATACGAAGCCCCACGATATCACCGCCAGTTTGAATCACCAGCTTGACGCTTATCACACGTGTGTTGTGTGCCGACCGTGTAAGCCCGTTCGCGAAATTTCGCGTAAAAAAATGTCATTGTAGCTACTAATTACACGTAATAATAATTATTAATTATTATTACCGTTCTCGTTGCTACCCATACTACCGCTTCTGCCGCAACCACTATTATTGTTATTGTTCGTTGTTAAAAATGTGATTATTTGTTTCGAAATTTTGATGTGCTAAATGATAAATTGATTGCTAGCGAAAACAAAAATGCTTGATTATTATCAATCATCACGCGATCGTACATTTGCATTTTCCATGCCAGAACTTCTCCTCCATCGATTGGAAGGAAATTCTTCGTTTATTCCTCAATAAAGAGTTAACAATTTCATCCCGTCGTCCACGTAAAATATTTTATGGATTCAACTTTAGCGTTGTCATTAAGCAAGTTTGAAAACAATCAATCATGTACTAACTAACTAACTAACCACCCCATCACAAAAATGACGTAAATAAAGCGATAAAAACAGTGTAATAAGACGATAAGAAAAAATGTGATAGAGACTAACTATTGTAATATATTTGTTGCATCATTTTTCGAAAGGGAAAAAGAAAGAAAAATGACAATTCTCGAGCTGGTGGCGGCTTTGCTGTTTTATTTTTTGACTGCAAGTGTCGATTTATTAAACGCTACTGAAGATTTATCATCGACGGGTCTGAAACACGTGTCCAATCTGACGCCTAAGGATCAGGGAGGTAATCTTTTTAACGAGAATGCCAGGGGGATTTTACCAGACCCTAAGAAGTGCTTCCTGCACGTTTCTGAAGTCTTCGCCGGTGGCACCCATCTTAACGTGGCTATAGGGCACCGGAAGTTTAAAACCGACGTTTTGGTCACGAAAATAATATACGAAGGTAAGTCACATGTAGAAATTTTCAATATTTTCATCGGAAAATGCAAGTGATATGTTTTCGTAAGTCTGTTGTTTACTTGGGTGTAATTAACAATACGTAGGCGATCATTAAGTCATTGGAGTAACAAAGGGGGGGGGGGCAAGTTGACCAGATCACCCTAGAATCCTTCTGGCACACACTATAATAATCCTCCAGGCCCACTCTAGAATATCAATTACTCAAGTACAAATAACAAGATAAGTCAAAGTTATCCCTTATATTATACATAAGTGGCTAATGTTAGGCAGAGTTGATAATTACCCCCCCCCCACACTTAAGGGGGCGTTGCTAAGCCTATGCATCGAGATAATAAATATGTATAAGGTATAAGGAATACAAGAATCTTCACTTCTTTCTAGCCTAAGTGAATCAATTCGTTTCCAGAGTAAACTGCAATTATTGCCAACAGTAGATTTACATTTGCCCCTCTAAACTCCTGTATCTACCTCTACTAGGTCTCTAACTAAACCATCATGCCACAGGTGTCCTGCCAATTTCGTTTATTTCTTATCGATTACCATAATTCCCTCTGTATCTTTCTCCTAATCTTTCCAATACCTTCTTTACTATCCACGATAATTTTAACATCCCCCTACAACACCACATGTCAACCCTTCCAACTTCCCCGAACCGTCTCCTTTTCACATACAATGTCAGTTACCAGAAGTGATAAATTATTTATTAAACTATAAAAATTTCAAAATATTGTTAAATTTTTAGCTTTATAATTGACTATTTATTAATTAAACTGATTTTCATTCTCCAATTTAAAATTACCGAGCTTTTCACGAATGTCTTTTTATAATTCAAAAGTTCCGTTACTTAACGTAATATTTATTAATTTGGAAAGCTTAAATTTTTTTTCGTTTTTACCGTTTCTAGGGCGTGGTTGGTTCTCGATCACGAAACCCAACTTTTCCATGCACATAGTTACCCTAGTTGTTCACGTATGTGTCTAATTATTTATTAATGAACCGTACGTGATTGAAAATGTACAATCGATTCGGCAATAATTCGAAAAAAATTATCTCACCACCGACCACAAATGAATAAAACATTAAATAGCGTTTGTTGTGTTAGCACAGAAAACGGCAGGGTTGATACTAGGTCACCGGGGGTCGTTTACCGGGTCAATATGTTTGCGTCCCTAACTTCATATGCCTGTTACATACCCTTCACCTTTAAATATAATTATGAACATAAATCGGTACGGAGAAATCCGTACAAAAATATCTAGACAAAATCAAAATTAGAACGAGAGAGGGGTTGAAGCAGGGGAATATGAATTTAACGCCTTTTACATTACTTAATCAATTATTTAATTAGCATATTAATTAAGCTTTGATGTACGGTCATGACTGGCACTTCCACCAAAAATGTTTTTATAAAATACACCAAATGTTATTTATTTTACACCATTGGTTCGCATTGATTAAGCTCCCAGAATATATACGTGTTTGCAACCATATAAACAATATGTGTTCGCAGCGAGCCACCATTTTTCAGCAGAGTATAAGTCTTAGTTTCACTTTAAGAAGATGTAAAACCTAATCTTAATAAAAATATGAAAAAGAACCATTTTGAAATTGTTATTCTAACGACATGGGTAAAAGGTCCCTTATCGTAACATCTTAGAGTTGATTTTCATGTACTCCTCAAGCTGAAATAATTCCGGAAGGAGAACTGTAGATAATGTAGCGTGAAATATCAAGACAGGGCGATACACTCCTGTAAGTAACCGAGTGAACAAAATTTACAAATCCAAGTCGTCCTTTTTGATGACTTTCGCTAGACTGAGTCCTTACTGTTCAATTTTTTATTCTTCTTCAGAATATACAATGCATGTAGAATATTATACACTAGTGGCGACTTCCGAACCAAACACAGGGATTTACTCAAACGGCGGTATCATCTTTTGAAAAATGTGACATTGTTTAGGTAAATTCGTACAAATATCTTCAGACATCTTTTCATATAAAAAATAATGTACTTCATGTAAATACAATAAATGCAACTTAAATTTACCTTACCTGTATATGTGTTTTTTATTTTTTATTCTATATACAGATAGGCAAATTTTAAACCAAGCATAAAAATTATTCATATTTTTGCCTTCATGCACTTAAATATTACGAATGTTGTATTTTATTTATTAAAAATGATATTTAATATGAAAGCTTAGCATAATTAAAAAAAAGTTATTTTACAAGTCTTAAGTGCATTTTAGGACGTTTCTAAATATCATCCGGGATAAATACTTCACTAAAAGTCAATATTGAACTAACAACCAACCCTACTAGTATTATAACATATTCCTTAGGGAAAACCCGAGAAGAAAGACGGGCTTATGAATGTACTTACCCATGTATCGACGCTAGTGTTGCTAATACCTTATGTAGGTATGTGTACGAAGTTTCGTTGTCTTCCATAAATAATAAATTGCGAGATTCTTACCGGGGTTACTAGAACAAGTAACAAATGACTGCTACTATTGACCTGATGTAAGCGGGAGTTTTTTAAAAGAATACGACATAATATACACTAATGGCGAATTGTGAACCAAACGTAGGGATATTCTATTGTAAATAATAATGTAAAAAAGAAAAAATACTGGCAAAGAAATATATGCATGTACTATTATGCTTGGTGATATTTTTCCCGTATCTGTATGTACGTATTGAACTGTATACAGCAGTGGCGACTTAAGAACCAGACGGAAATGTGTGGAATAATTTTTTCAACCACGGCTAATATCATGTCATGCTTTTTATTGGACATATTACCTTGTATAGCTTGAGATAGCTTTAAATAAAATGGAAGCGGTACTGACAGATCAGTACTGTATGAAAATAAATAAAAGTAAAACTAAAATACTGGTATGCAAGGGAAGAAAAAGTAGGGAAAGAGCGAATATAAAGATAGGAGACGAAAAATTAGAAGAA